GACACGGGACATTTGTTGCGGGTGTTATCGCTGGCCAAGATGAAGAATGTCTTGGTTTTGCCCCTGATGCTGAGATTTATGCATTCCGGGTATTCACAGATGCTCAGGTAATTATTAGCTAGAAGTACTTTTTTGTTTTCAAATTTACCGGTTTGGTGAAGATTATAGCAGCCTATCCTTTTCTTTTCCTTAGAGTATGAAATATTTATCAAGCTGAGTGCATGGAGACAAAAGCCAACTGCATTTTAGGGTCCAAAAGTGGCTCCCATATTTTCATTGGACTGTAGAATCATTTTCTACGGGTTAGATTGATGATAGCATGGTGCGAGAAGTATCTGGTAGACTGTTGTATATGTTTTAGTGAATATTCAAATTGTTTTTACCGTTTTCCTTTTTGCAATTTGATTAAGTCGTTAGACTTACCAAGATTATGAGAATTTCGTATTCAGCCTATTGCAGGTATCTTACACATCATGGTTCCTTGACGCATTTAACTATGCTATTGCAACAAAAATGGATGTACTGAACTTGAGCATCGGTGGCCCTGATTTCCTGGACCTCCCATTCGTTGAAAAGGTAAGAGTTGTTTTGGGAGTTTGTTAACTCTTGTATAGGCATAGGCAGGAGAGAGCAACTGCCGTGCACACACTCTAAATTTTATTGGACAACAAACTCCCTATCAATCATCATGTTTTTATCATTTGATATTCAGACGTGGTATCTCAAGTATTTGTGTGGGTCAATTGGACATTGGTTTAGGGTATCATTTTGTGTAGTGTCTTGCAATTCTATTTTCAATTATTCATTCTAGTATGGCTAGCATTGGTGTTTCACTCTTTTTATTTTCCTACGAAAGTCTTTAGCATTAGTTTTATTGGCTATTTTTCTTGATCCCAGTGTTCCTTTGCATCTTGACCATCAGATATGGGAGATAACAGCCAATAACATAATTATGGTCTCCGCTATTGGAAATGATGGGCCTCTTTATGGCACTTTAAACAATCCAGCAGACCAAAGTGATGTAATTGGCGTTGGTGGAATAGATTACAATGATCATATTGCCCCATTTTCATCACGTGGCATGAGCACTTGGGAGATTCCTCATGGGTAATCTATTTACTCTTCTAAACGGCTTTGTGTTATAGCTTATGGTTGACCAAATTTCTTGTTGGGAGAAGACTTGAATGCTACGCTTTTCATTTGACTGCTTCATGTTTCAGATGATTCAAGTATTTGTGTTCTGCATTCATTTGTAGACTCACCATATTTCCCAAATATTCACGAGTTTGCCCATAGTTGCATTGCAAGATCGGACCTTTTTCTGATATGGTATTTTGATGCAAATAGAGTAGAGGGAAGATATCTTTTGACCTTGATCGCTTTATGTTTAATATACTTTTCTGCACTGCCTTGAAACTTTATCAATTAGGACGTGAAAGGTAGCAGGAGTCCTGACCTATTTACATGTTCATTTCTTCTTGCCAAGTATGAGCAGCAGTTGCGATCGTGTGGAGATCATTTTATTAGTATGTAGCCCGTTGTTATTTTTATTTGTTTGTAGTAGACCTTGACTTTTTTCTAATTTTGGTTGATAGATATGGCCGTGTGAAGCCAGATGTCGTTGCATATGGGAAAGATATCATGGGATCAAAGATAAGTTCAGGGTGTAAAAGCTTATCAGGGACTAGTGTGGCAAGCCCTGTGGTTGCTGGTGTAGTCTGCCTACTTGTTAGTGTGATTCCTGAGAGTGACCGTAAGGCCATTCTAAATCCTGCAAGCATGAAACAAGCACTGGTTGAAGGAGCTGCCAAGCTTTCTGGTCCCAATCTGTATGAGCAGGGTGCAGGAAGAGTAAATCTGTAGGTTCTCTTTTTCATGGTATTTCACTTTCCTGCTTTACTACACGAGCAACTATATTGTCTTAACTTTCCCTTCTTTCTCAGGTTGGAGTCCTATGAAATCTTGAAGATTTATCAACCTCGGGCGACCATCTTCCCTGGTATTCTTGATTTTTCAGATTGCCCTTACTCTTGGCCATTCTGCCGCCAACCCTTATACGCCGGGGCAATGCCAATTATGTTCAATGCCACGATTCTAAATGGCATGGGCGTTATTGGTTATGTTGAAAGTCCCCCCATATGGAATCCCTCAGATGAAGATGGAAATCTGTTAAACATTCACTTCACCTATTCAGAAATCATCTGGCCATGGACAGGCTACATAGCACTTCACATGCAAATCAAAGAAGAAGGTGCCCAATTTTCTGGTGAAATCGAGGGTAATGTAACTCTCACTATCTACAGTCCTCCATCTCCTGGTGAGAAGACGAAAAGAAGAAGCACGTGTGTGCTTCACCTGAAACTGCAGGTGGTCCCCACTCCACCTAGGTCGAAGCGGATTTTGTGGGACCAATTTCACAACATCAAATACCCTCCAGGATATATTCCGAGAGACTCTTTAGATGTTCGGAATGACATTCTTGATTGGCATGGAGATCATCTACACACAAATTTTCACATCATGTTTAACATGTTAAGAGATGCTGGATACTATGTTGAGACGCTTGGTTCTCCTTTCACATGCTTTGATGCTCGCCATTATGGAACACTTCTACTTGTGGATCTCGAAGATGAGTACTTTGCAGAGGAGATTGAGAAGTTGAGGGACGATGTTATTAACAGTGGTTTAGGATTAGCTGTGTTTGCTGAATGGTATAATGTGGATACGATGGTGAAGATGAGATTCTTTGACGATAACACACGAAGCTGGTGGACACCTGTTACGGGAGGAGCGAATGTTCCTGGATTGAATGATCTCTTGGCTCCGTTTGGGATTGCTTTTGGGGATAAGATTTTGAACGGAGATTTCTCCATTGATGGAGAGCAAAGTCGGTATGCATCAGGAACTGATATTGTGAGGTTTCCATCAGGTGGTTACGTGCATGGTTTCCCTTTACTGGATAGCTCAGAGAGTGGTGCAACTCAGAATGTGCTGTCGAATTCAGGATCAGGGAAGGTAAAAAGAATCTGAATTCCATAAACATTGTCTTCTTACCACTTCGGTATTTGCTGAAATTAAAGGGTGTATACCTTTAAGCTGAAACAGACAGCCTAAGTCTCAATTTAATCTGCTGCCTCGATTGGAGCAATTTGCATACATATTTGTCGCAATCAGCAAATAATTTTTAATGAAATAGTCCACAATTCTACTGGAAAAGAAAGGATCTTTGCAATGTGGAATTGTGTTTGGAATTTTGATGGGTTTATTATGCTGTAATATATTGTGCAGGCGGATTCTCCAATTCTAGGCCTTGTGGAGGCAGGCGAAGGGCGAATTGCAGTCTACGGAGACTCCAACTGTTTGGACAGTAGCCACATGGTCACCAACTGTTACTGGCTTCTCAAAAAACTACTAGATTTCACCAGCTCTAGTGCTCGAGATCCGTTGCTCTTCTCCCAATCTGCAAAACAAGACATGGCCATCTACGTGGATGACAACCAGCTACCTTCGCGTAGAACAGATGTAAACTTCTCTTCCTACTCTGCAGTGCTGGGCCAGGATCTGATATGCAGGAGGGACTCCAGATTCGAAGTGTGGGGTACCAAAGGTTACAACCTGCACGTCAGAGGAAGAAACCGGAGACTTCCAGGCTACCCTATCATAGATCTGGGGAGAGGTCTGAATTCTACTACGCCCAACCCTTTCAAGGTCGAGCATTCAAAAGTTACAGAAAGAAGAAACAAGGGAGATACACAAGGGAATCATCTCCTAGGCATTCTCAATGGCGATGAGGTAAGAACGTGGAATCTGGTGGCTTTTTTCATCATCGTTGTCCTCAAATCATGGCAACTTAACAATCTGTTGATTGGTTCCATACGCAGCTTGATATGCCCGTTCTGGTAGGGAGCCATTGGCTTGTCCCTGCAGCAATAGCCATTACAGGTTTGTGAAGTATTCAGTAGAATCTTTCGCATACTTGGGATAGTCGTTAGTTGACTGAGCATTGGTTTACTCAAACCTTCTTGTTTGTGCCGGTGTGGCAGGTGTGTTGTTGTTTTTGAGCATATGGAGGATTCGGCAGAGGCGGAGGAGGAGGAAGAGAGGATCTGGGTCTGGTCGTTTAGGAAATCTGTAGAGCACACAACCCATTTTCTTTTTTCTTCTTCGTTCTCGGGTTCGGTCTACCTGTTTCTCCATTACTACTGATTGTGTAACACAGGAAAATGAATGATGAAGCATTTTTGGTGTTGTAGAAGAGAGGAAAGGAAGGTAGGCTTCTCTATCATCATTCTATATAGACTTCACTGTACATTTCTCTTTGGCTTGACTACATACAATGCTCTGTGTAAGACTGAGCTTTCTGGAGAGTAAATGAGAAATGTTCTTCATCCATGGAATTGATTACAAAGCATTGAGCCAAAATTTTCCGTTATTATGAAATTTTGATATTATTTTTGACAGTTAGATAAAAGTTTCCATTTACGCTAAGTGTCCCATATGGATATTAACCGTTAACAGTAAATGGAAACTGAAAAGGAAGAAAGGTCCATGGCCGGCCCACCAGCTGTCATCCAACATTTGGAATGACAAAGTCAGGCCCAACAAAAAAGATGAGCTGTCCATTACTTATCTTCCTTCATCTCCCAAAGCTTCAAACCAACTCCACACCACCTTCCTCTCTGACTTTGAAGCCTTTTCAAGACTTAACCAACAAACTTTGGTCTAAAACCTTCATCATAACCCCAAATCTCAACAAACAAATTTAGCTTTTTGTTTCATCCCTTGCACTGCATTCATTCTCAATGGTTGCCATGTCCTGCTCACACACATCAATAGAATGTGCTCCTTACACCAAAACGGGGTATAGTACGAAAACTTACAACAGATCTACTCGGTAAGACTAACGGTTCAAAGTACAGTGATAAACTTGTTATCGTCGTACTGTGCACGAATCATTACCGGCTTAGTCGCTGAATCGAAACTACAGAAGCATCTTCAAGGACACAAAACGAATACACATTGCAGCATGTATTCACATTCCATTCAAATAAGCAGCAAATGAATCAAAGAATCAAAATAAAGCTTCTACTATACTGTCAATTTAGCCTGTCTTTCCAGTATTTACTCGCTACTAATAAATACATTGGTAGAAAATCAAAGAGAAAGGAAAAGAAAAAAAAACTGATCAGCAAGGGAAGAAGTAGAAGAAGAAAAAACTTTTTGCTCATGTGTTGGTTGATCACACCAAGAACACACATATCGTTCTGGGAAATCAATGTGACATCCAATGATCCAATTCAAAACCGAAAATAAAAATTCCATTCGAGAAAATAGAGTAGTGGAGGGGAAAGAAGGGATTGGCTTTACATAGAGAGATGGTGAGAAGGCTCAACTCAAGAGCTTCCACTGAAACCTTGGCTGTTTCTCTTCACCTTCCCCATCTCCATTTCCCTTGTCGTCTGCCCTTCGCTGCTCGATCCGGAAGGGTAGAGCCCGTAATCGCTCGTGGGAGGGCCGCTGTACTCGTCGCTCGCACCGTACTCTTTGCTGCCGAGTGCCATCTTCCTGAACTTCTTCATGTCCTCATTGTACTGGCTTGTGTCATAATCCGAGCTTTCGTATGAATACATTCGGCTGTGCCCTGGTTTAATCCCTTCGTTGAGGTCTGCTAGCGATACATCTCCTTCTAGAGCTCGCACTACCTGTGTGGATGATGTTGAGCACGGTTTTGATGTCAAGTTACAGAAGCAAAAGTTCCAGCCTTTGGAAGTGCGTCGTGGGAAAATAAAGAGCCCTGATGATTTTACCTGGCTCATGCGTGGGCGACGCCTAGCAGAGTGGCGAACACAGGCGGCAGCACAGGCGACCATGCGAGACATCTCGTTGTGGTCGTAGTCTACGAGTTTTTGGTCGACCAAGGAGTCGTAGTTTCCATCCTCCAGAGCCCGTGAAAGTAAGGGCCGAGCCTAGAGAGCAATTAGAAACAATGAAGTTGATTAGCTTTGTTGAACTAACTTGAAACTCTGCATTGCAGATCAAAACTTCATGGTCAAGCAAGCAAACTTACCCAGTCCACCAGACTGTCGTCCATGTAAGTGTGAGTCGTGTCAACAGGGCGGCGCCCTGTAATCAGCTCTAGAAGCATTACTCCGAAGGAAAACACATCGGATTTGTCGGAGAGCTTTCCACTTGCAGCATACTCTGGGGCCAAGTATCTGCAGAAGTGAAATCAAATGTATGAGCAAACTCAGTCTAGAAGAGCTGACTAGTATAATCTACACTCAGTAAAATGGTAACCTCCATTAGAGCCTTACCCAAAAGTTCCCATCACCCTGGTGGAGACATGAGTGTTAGCATCAGACGTGAACTTCGCTAATCCGAAATCAGCAACCTAGAAACAGTTTAGGGTTTAACACATTGAGTTAGTTCTGCAATCAAGCTTGTGATATTCATTCAGAAAGCACACAGCTTTTGCTTGGATTAAAGTACCTTAGCCTCAAACTTGAAATCCAAGAGTATGTTGGCTGCCTTAATGTCACGATGAATGATCTTAGGATGACCTGAAGAACATACCAACAAAAGCAAATTGCCAACAATGTAAATTGACAAACTCCAAGAAAAGCTGCAAAGCAAACACAACCGATTCTCCCATTCAAAATCAGCCAACTCACAATCTTCATGAAGATAGGCAAGCCCTTTAGCAGACCCCAAAGCGATCTTCAACCTAGTCGGCCATTCCATCGTAGGTCGCCCTTTCCCTGCATCAATTTTCACCATTTCCACCCATCAGCTACAATGCGCTAACACGACCAACGAATCGAACCTCAATCACGACGAACAGAGACATTACCGTGTAAATGGAACTCCAATGTATCATTCTGGACAAACTCATAAACCAGCAATCTCTGAGCTCCAGTAATGCAGTAACCAACCAAGGAAACCAGATGCTTATGATGAACACGGCTGATGATCTCCACTTCAGCCTGAAACTCCCTTTCCCCTTGACCACTCCCTACCTTCAGCTGCTTGATGGCTACTTCTTTACCATTTGGAAGAACTCCTCTATGAACATATCCAAACCCACCTTGCCCGAGCAAATTGGCATCCGAGAACCCATCTGTAGCCCTCGCTAGCTCTTCATATGTAAACATGCTCTTCGAGAAGCCCAATGACAGTCCAGGAGAAGGCGGCGGGAGCGGGGTTTCGGTGCCGGAGTAGTTGGACGCCCCGCTGCTGCTCAGGTAAGCCGGCTGCTGAGGTGGTTGTCTCGCCGGAGCTGGTGGCGCAGGTGGCGGTTTTCCCATTGATCCCACCACTCGATCCGGCGGCGGCGGAGCTACCTGCTGCCAATGCTGTTGCGGCTGGCCGCCGTATGGGTCAACTGCAACCATTAATCAGAAATCACCCATCAATTTTTAGAATCTCGTACGCCATTGGAGAAGAAGCAGATCTGAGTAATTTTGACCCGAGTCAAACTGAGGGAGGGGAAATTTTGGTTTCTCCCGAGAAAATTCTCCAATTCCAGCTTCGAATCCAGAGGGGGCAAGAAGAAGAGTGGGGGAAAGAAATCGAACCTTTAGGGCCAGAAGAAGGCGGCGGCGGAGGAGCGTAGTAAGCGGCTTCATTGTCGCCTCTTCTCCTCCTCTTTCTACAAATACAGAACAAGCTCAGTATCAACAGAATCGCCACTCCTCCAATTGCAATCCCGACCACCGTTCCAGTCGATATCGACGAGTTGGAGGGAGGCGAGGAAGAGTTCGGCGGCGAACCGCCGGAAGAAGACGACGGCGGGGAGCGGGATGACGGAGGCGTGCGGGTCCCGGGGGTAGACGGCGTGATTGGGGTCGGCGTGGAAGGGGTGACCGGTGTGGGGGTCGACGGCGGAGTGGTGGAAGAAGGCGGCGAAGGAGTGGTGGAAGGAGGCGAAGGCGGGGAAGGCGAAGGAGTCGTCGGCGGAGAAGGGGAAGCAGGCGCCGGAGCTGTAGGAGTGGCGGGCGCCGCCGGGGGAGGGGTGGAAGGAGTGGCCGGCGGAGGAGCGGAAGGAGTGGCCGGCGGAGGAGCGGCGGCGGGAGGGGAAGGTGGAGGCGCGGAGGGAGTCGCCGGAGGAGGCGCCGAGGGTGTGGCGGGAGGCGTCGCGGTGGAGTTGGTGGACGGAGGCGAGGTTGGCGCCGGAGCTGACATCGCGCCGGCGGGATTCTCCTCCTCCTTCTTCTTCCCTGGTTAGCCGATTAGCAAAGGAGAGAAAAGGGGGAGACTTTATTAGTGGGAATGTTGTTGTTGTTGTTGGGCAGTGAGTTCTGTGACGGTGGAGGAATGGGAATGGCGCTTTTTCTCTGATATTTTTTGCAGAGTCTGCTTTTCAGCTTCGCATGTGGGGATGGGAGAGATGAGAAGAGAAGAGAGGAAAAAGGGAAGAAGATGATGAAAGCGGCAACACCAGCTAGCTTGCAATTCTGCTCGGAGGTAACAACTGTTATAATTATTACTAAATTAATTCTAATTAGTTTTTTTTTTTTTTTACTGGGGAAAAAAAAGAGCGACGGCGTGTGATTGGAGCAGGCTGGCTGCGGAATGCGGTGGCGACAAAAATGGTGGGACCTACACGGATGGCCCGCGGGGCCGCGTTTTTTGTTCTCCGGCACCGGAAGCGGCGCCGAGTCCGTCTCCGACCGGCCTCTCTGTTTATCTTTTTTTTTCCCCCGCTTATTTTATATCCGACCACCGTTGCCTAATCAATAATAATTGATCATGAAAAAATAAAAATAAATAGAGATATGGGGAATTTCTGTTCTCTGACTTGCTTAACTGGAATTTTGTAGGTCAACGGGTTTTTTTTTCTCAATTGAATTAAATCTAAAAATGGCTGGAAATTTAAATATAAAATTTACTTTGTGCAACGTAAATCCAGCTAGAGTTGGACAGGGGAACTATAATTAATAATCCTAATACAAGTTGCATAGTGTGATTTACGTTTTCTAGATATTAAGAATTATCTTCTTTTTCCTCTTTAATTTTCGAAATGATAAATATATATAAAAAAAACAATTATCAACTGGGATGCTGGCGGCAGCATCCATTCTTGCCAAACATAAAAAGAAAATTAGATTCATCCAAAATAAGAAAATAAATGAATAAATACGTAACACTATTATCCAGTTGGATATATAATCGGAAATTAAGGAACTTCCAAAAACGAAACGACAGAAAGGAGAGTAGCGAATAGCGATGGAAGTTGTTGCTTTGTTGTATTTTATGGATGTAAATTAAACCTCCTCCAATGGAATGAATCCTCTTTTTTTCCCAAAGGCCAAATCGCCTTTCTTAGGTTGATTAATAAATGGAATCACTGGATTTGGTGTTCTATTGGGAAAAGGGTAAATAAAATGGGATTTTTGTCCACTTCCTTCTCTTTTTATACCCTTCCAAGCCAATCAAAAGGGTGTTAGTTCTTTTATATGGAGCCATTCAAGATTTGGTACTATACATAGAATAATGACCCACCACTTTGGTTAGTGCCATTTTGATTAGGTGCGGAAATCGGTATGATATCGGTATCCCAATATCAAATACCGAATTACACTCTAAAATCAATCACAATCCCAATCCCTCAATAATTTCGGTATCTCAATCCCAATCCCTAAATATTTCGGTTTTCCAAATCGTATTATCGAATACGAAATTAATTATATTTACAGTTAATAATTAAATATATAAATTAGATTTGATTGTTTAATATAGGACAAAGAGACTAAAGCAAAGACTCTTAAGTTTGGCTAGAGCTAGGATATGGATAAGGAGAATGGAGGAGAGGTGACATCTCAAGTTTTTGACATTGGTAATCTTTAATTTGACGAATTGGATGTTGAGAGAAGACTAATACTAGTGTTTGCTTTTTGGTGGTTGAGGGTTGTGTAGTTGTGTATGTAAGAGTCTAGTTGAGAGGATAAAATACATACTAGCTTATATTTTGGTATTGTTCGGTATTTCGGTATATACCAATCCCAATCTCGTAATCCCTAATACTGAATAACAATTGAAATTGAATCTCAATCCCAATCCCAATAAATAATACGTGTATTCGGTAATACCAAATATAGACAACTTCGGTACGGTATTTGGTATATCCCAAATACCGGTACCATACTTTCAGCCCTAATTTTAATGACCTCAAGGGATAAATATAACGGTTCAAAACTTAGATAGAAGCCTAGAACCAACAAGTTTATCAATAATATTTGTAGTCTAAATGGATTACTGCACAAAATGATTCATAGAAAGAGAGAAAACAATAAAAACTACTTAGGAACCCTTCCAAAGCAATTATCTCAGTCGAGTCATCCTATAAAGTCGAAGGAAACCAACTCAAGAGGAGACAACAGCAGAGCTTTACGTGCCACTCTATGGGCAGCCCTATTTGCGATTCAAAGAACCACGTTAAATTCTATAAAAACAGACACAGATAATGAGCTGAAGACAATCTCGAAGCTAATGCCCGTTACACCTTGGCGAAGCTGTTGAATCACCACATCGGAATCACCTTCCACGATTGCACCTACATGAGACGGGTTCCTGGAGACGACAAGCTAGCGAAATGACATCTCTAGCTGCAAGCAGTTCTGCCAAGAAGCGATCAGCCACTCCAGAGTGTAGGGGCCCAACTGCCAACATGACAAATGTGGATGAAATCGGATGAGATGTTGGTTGGTGTACAAATGTATCAGTTGAAAATGAAACTACTGAATCCCTCTGTACTTTGAATCTCTATTCAATAAACCAACTATAGACTCGGCGGGTACTTCATCAGTTTAGATTTTGTGATCGATGGTTCCAAATGTGAGATTAGCCCAAGTGTGTGACTCTAAAGCCGAATTGCAACCCCGATCGAGTTTGAGAGAAAAAAAGGGAAAGTTGAGTTTTGGTCCTACTCATTGTATACAATGGGGAAGCCAACTTATTTTTCTTCTTCTCTGATGATCGATCGATTACGAAGATAGACAAACTGAGGGAAACCATAATCAAATCAAGAGGGGACAACCCTGAACATACGGCTAATCCAGTCTGTGCTAGATAAATATCGACAATGAGAGCAAAACACAGACTGAACTTCCTAACAATCGTGAACTTGGTTCATCCCGGTCGATCCGACTGGCAACCAATCTGACCCTGTTCCTAGCTAGCAACCTAGGACGTGGTTCCTAACTACCGTGACATGATTGATTCCCCGCATTACAACATTAATTAAGACCCGCTGTGCTGGTTCATTGAGCTTTTTTTTTTTTTTTTTCCTTCTATTCGATTTTCCACTTTAATATGCAGAAAAGAAATGGGAAACAAACTGTCCTTGCAATACAAACAAAAGGGTTGGAGCAAGAGACAGGAAAGGGAGAAAACCAGTTCATAATCATATGAGTGTGGAAGGAAGTTGAGTATGGGTTGGGCTTGAAATAGACAACTAACCAAATCGACAACCCATTTCCAGCAGAAAAGCACAATCACAAACCAAATTACTAAGTATGTTGGTGGGAAACGGTGCGGTTGCGGTTAACTGCACCGAATAAGCGCGGTTAATCGTCATCGCACAAGGGGAAAACCACCCACCGTTATCATAATGCAAACGATTTGCGGTTAACCACTAACCGCAAATCACGGTTAGCGGTTAGTTGCGGTTAACTGCACTTTAAACCGCACACCGCGATTAAGAGTTAAACGGTGTAAAAAATTGCGAAATGAAACAAAACCGCAACAAAAACCGAATTAACCTGTAAAATTCAGCAACATGCACTTGAGAAATTAACACTAAAACAAGGAAAATGTACCTGGAAAAGTCAGAAACGGAATTAAGTTCTAAACATCCAAAAGAAACCATCCACATTAAGTTCTAATAAGGAAAATGCACCTGGAAAATGCATTTTGGGTTGTTGGATGGGTTGGGTTTGGGTTGGGTATACTCTTAGAGTCTTACACGGTTAGTTATTCAGTGGAGTTACTTATTCGGTGCGGTGAGTCCACAAACCGCAAAAGAGCCTATTTCACTAACTGTTACCGAATAAAGGCTCTTTTAAACGGTTTGCAGTTAACCACAAACCGCTCTTGTTAAGTACGGTTGCAGTTTAACCGCAAAACCGCAACCGTTTTTCCACCCCTAAATTGTTTTAGATATCGAAATCTTAGTGTACCGGAAATACCGAAAATCAAATCAGTAAGTGGACAGAATTATGAATGAATGACGCAAGCCAAGGAAGAAAACTGGAAAACTGGAATGTCGTGGATTAGGTGAGTCATGTTAATCAGCCTTTTTAAGCAGGATTAATTGATTAAGTAATTAATTGGAGGAGTTTATATTTTAGCTGTGACCGTTACTCTTAACTAAGGTGGTAGCTTGCTAGGAGGATACAAAACAGCTGGAGGGCACCAACTTCTACTTACCTCCTTCCTACCACATGCGCACATTTCGACTTTCCTTTAATTATTTTAATTAATTAGTGGGTATATATAATTATCATTATATTAATTGTATTATTTTTTTAGTTTACGTAGCAAGTTAATTAAATGGCTTAATTATTGCTATTTGTGTTGTTGATGATGGGAGGTGCTTCCGCAAGGAGTAGTCCGTTGCATGATTAATTCTACTACTTGTGTTTCTTCAGAATATTCTCCAAATTTCTTGGGATTTTAGTTTTTGTGGACAATTATTTCTTTAGCTACATATACAAGAGAAAGGGATGAGATAGCATGCCTACCCATAAAAGGGTTGGAAAAATTACACCCCCTATTAATTATAGGTTTTTAAGGTAATTAATTTGTGTTGCATTTAATAATCTGTATGAATTAAAAACACATATTAATTACTTTCCTTTTTTCAGTGCACTGGTAGTTGTATCAGTGCACTGGTAGTTGTGTACAGGTGCAATGGTAGATGTATCAGTGCAATGGTAGTTCCAAAAAAGGAACATAATTAATACGAGTTCAGTATACAGGTGCAATGGTAGTTGTATCAGTACAATGGTAGTTAAAAAAAAGGAATGTAATTAAGATGAGTTTTTAATTTCCAAATATTATTAAATGCACCACGAATTTAATACAAAAAATAACTATAATTAATAGGGGTGTCATTTTTCCAACCCCTTGTAAAAAGGAAAAAATGAGTAGTTTTCATAACATTGCAAGATGTTTTTAGATAATTACAATTTCTCAAAATACAATTTTAACACACAAGTATGCAATATGTTCAATATTAATTATTAAATTAGCATATTTTCCCACTTTTGAAAGCTTGGAAGATTATATTATTTAGGGGTTTGATCGTCGCGGTATGACAAGGTAAACTATGAAGCAAATCAAATTTCTATCAAAAATAAAATTAACTTATTCATTATACATTCAAATCTATTCATAAAATAAGAGTTAACAATTGAAGGATCTAGTTGGAAAAAGTTTAAATTTAAAAGATTTACGAAATCAAAGTATAATTTATTTGATATAGTCTGAATTTGAAGGGTCGTATATCGAAAGTATGTAAGTCAAGTGATCAAATTGGCATAGTTTGATTATGAAATTTTGTATAAATTAGAACCTACTAGTGAAAGCTAAGTAACCAAATCGACTTTATGTCAAAGTTACATCT